GATATTCGATGTTCTTTGTGTTCTTGGTACAAGACAATGATCCACAAGCCTTATATACAACCATGAGCTTCCGACTTTTCCGGTGGTGAACGTTCGACTCAGCCTTAACTTCAGGCAATCTGAAAGCACGCATCCTCAAACGAAATTAAAGGTATTTAGCCTTAATTTAAAAACTGTTTATATATTGTGCTGTGGTACTAAGCGAATCCAAAACTCTACATTGCTTCGTTAAGATTTTCCTCTGATGAAGCTCTATTTTACCATCTTGAAATGATCTACCTCCTTTTTGACGAACTTTAGGACCTGTTCTAATGCCGATAGGAAAGATAAGAGACTGAAGTGTATGATAAAATTGTTCAGAGATAATATGTACGACGCCAGTCGGACACATAGGCACTCTTTAAGCCTCATATGTGTCTGTGATGAAGGTGGATAGGTAGGGGGATCGGCTCGGACAAGGTGTATGACGCCTGAGTTACCGAAAAATATCTGTAGATGTAAGAAGAACGTTTTGATAGCGATCTTAGATTGTCAAGACCAACCATGCAAACCAATCCTCGAATATGACAGGAGCGAGGGTTGGAATCAAGTCCTTATGGCCAGCCGAACAATAATTTTCAGTTGCAGCAGGAAGCATTTGACACAATTTGATGGAGCTGATGGGTATGTGCTATTTAGATGCTAGAAGCCCTGCTAACGGCATCTGAAATCGGTGGTGAAGGTGATTACACTTGAGTTGGCACACTTTTAGTCGAAATTGGAACAAACAATGACATATAGATAAGTTCATAGCACAAGATGAGGGTAAGGAATGATAAAACAGGGTTGAGAGCTAGGACAGGGGAAGGGAGGTGCAACAATATTTACCAGACAATTTCTGAAGGCGGTTGCTTTCACTTGTCACTAATGAGTTTTAACTGTGATGAGGATGGCGTCTCTCACCTCTGATATGATGAAGCTTCTGAGACCGTACCAGCTTGCTCTTATTATTATTTTTTCAATTTTAAGATTTTAAATTATTCTTTACACCCTTAATTTTTACAGATTTTGACCCACCTATTCTAATTTTCTCGTCCTTAAATCTGTTAAATCTCTTTGGTTATAACCCTATCAATCCCATTCTTTTGTTTCTAATTGCCTTATTTATTTAGGGTGCCCCCAGCGTAGTAACCATGGCCAGCTCATTGCCTGAATCAGACCGTTGCTATCCAGAACCAATGCAGCTTACTACTGAAACGGATCTCGCTACGGTCATGCGGGTAATGGCGCAGCCTGAATCTGGCCTTGAAATCCGTGATCGCGTTTGGCTCAAAATTACTGTGCCTAGCGCATTCATCGGTACCTTATTTTTAATTAGCTTACTTTATTTTTTTCTATATTTTACTATTTCAGGTTCTGGAATTTGTTTGTGCATTTAGTTTTCACACATTCTTTTCCTTCACACATACATGCATAAATTTTATTGAATTTTACTACGCTTGTTTCTTATATGTGACCACCACCAGACGCATACTTATCATAATAAATGTATTTTATTCCGAAATATCTCACTGACAATTGTTTTAATGCCATCACTATCGTTGCTTATTTCTGCATTCTCCTAACATCCTTGGCAGATCGATGTAGTTGTTTTTGTGCTGCAAACCATCATTTTATATTACTCGTTGCCACAGCAGCTCCCATTTTTATCGCTTTATTTAATTGCTTAAATTTTTTTAGGCTCGGATCTCGTTGATTGGCTTTTTCGACATGTTGAAGGTTTTGCTGATCGCAAAGAGTCCAGGAAGTACGCCTCAAGTCTACTCAAATTCGGCTACATCCGGCACACAGTTAACAAGGCCACTTTTTCTGAACAATGCTACTATGTGTTTAGCGAAACTGTGAATCGTGAGTCTAGCTTAGTTTATGCCTGCTGATCATTTTATCTTTTTTTATTTCACTGTTTAATTATGTTCATATATGCATACCTATTCCATCCTATCTACTGGTATATGCCTTTCAGGTTCACTAATATTTTAAAATCCATTTTA